TTATTGTAATAGTTTTATTGTAAAAAATGTTTCAAACTGTGCTGAGATGATGCTGAAAAACTATGGTGCTGGTAACAGTTCAACAATCTGTGGCTGCTCAAAACAAAAACAAAAACAAAACAACAACCCAGAAGGCGGGGAGGGGAGACAAAACAAAAGAAAATGAAAAAAAACCCAAAACAACCAAAACAGCAACAAAACAATGACAAAAAGAAAAAAGAAAGAAAGAAAAGCCTATAGTTCCAGGTCTGTTTATTGACCTTTAAGAGTGCACTTGGAGCTCTGAGTTCTTTCAAACAGCCAGCCTTGTGGTTGGTAGACAAGCTACTTACCCACTGCAGTGCCAGGCCTCTTTCCCAACCTGGGCATCTGGAAACAGCTGTGGCGTGGGGACACAGGCTTATTCAAGGCTTGAAGACCTCCCCTTCTTTTTCTCTCAGGCAGTAAAGAAACAATGAGTTGGTGGCCGATGTCCCCTTCAAACTGAGAATGACATGGCCACATGCCTCCATGGTCTCCCACCTCCATAGCACTGAGTTCTGCAGAATTCAAAGTCTTCATTCCCAATGGGGACATGGTCACCAGGAAGCCCCACAAGCAGCCCATTGTATGGCATATGGTGGTGGCTGTATGGCCACTTTAGGGTCTTTCTATCTGGGAGGCAGCAAGTGAGAAAAGGGGTGACCATCTTGTTGGGATACTCAACCTGGCCAGAAGAAGACGGTAAGGCTCCATTCACACCTTGGAGGCCTGGTGGAATATGGGTGTGACTCAGATGACCCACTTGGGTGTCCCTTGGTGCTTCCCACCCAGGTGTTGTCTGTTAACAGGCAGGCACAAGCCACCCCGACTTGAAAGAAGTATGGCCGTCAAAGGAGCTGGTGCTGCTGTGGGGTGGGGGCTGAGGGGGGAATCCAAACCGCGCAGCTTCTCCCAGGAGAAAGAGGAGGCGGTCTGCTCTGGTAAAGACTGCCAGTGTCAGAAACCCTACTTAAGGCCATGGTGGTGGAAATTGACTCGGGCACAGTGGATTTGTCTGTTTTTCAGTGGATTTGTCTGAAACCAAAGGTTTCAGCCCCGTCCAGTAGGAGAACGTGAGACCTGCCCCCTGATGAGCCGCCGAGACCAGGGAGAAGTTCTGGAACAGAGGGCCCGGGGAAGGTTAGGACAGAGCATGGAGGGAACAGACCTTTGACCTTTGTGGGAAGCTTGCAGTTCGTCGCAGCACCGGAGTGGTCTTGCACCTTGTCTCATGCTCTGTCCTTTCTCTAGTGTCCCTTGGGCCTTGTTCCATCACTGCGAGGGTGGCTCCGAGAAGCAAGCCCCCATGCTTGCCGGGAAGGAACGAACAGTGGGAATCTAGAGGAGACTGGGCAGGATCCCGTTCTTAAACCATAATTGAAGGGTGGGCACCCACATACCCAAGTGTGGTCTCTGTTGAGGCCCCAGTGGCTGGAGTACGTCGTGCGCTACAGCCCCAAATCACGTGGCCAGGGGGCATCTACTGGGCCCACCTGGAGGCCGTGGCAGGCTGAGTGATGAGCTGGGGCCAGGCCCAGCCGCCACCAGCACATAGCTAGCTGCCTGAAAGGCCCTTTGTAACCTGTGGGCTCCAGTCTCACTAGGCCTACTTCCTACCTCCCCAGGATGATGGGGATGGGCCAGAGGGCCCTCAGCCAACCCTGAAGGGGCCAGTCACCTGCCCCCAAAGCACAAGTGGGGCTGCAGTCACGCCGGAGTTCCCACTTCGCTGACCTCCCCAAAGCTCTGTCCCGCAACTCGGGTCCCAGGCGCCTGTCGGCTGGGGAGCCTTCTGCTGAGCTGGATGAGCAAGGCGCTGCCAGCTGAGGCTGGGTCCTTGGGGAAACCACAGGCTGTACATTTGGCCTGGAGCCCGGCCATCCTCTGGACACTCCCCTCCTCTTGCTCCTGGTGCTCCGGCCTCTTCTACCAGCTCCTCCTGCCAGAGCAGGTGGGCCAAGCCTTCAGGGATGGAGGCTACGGGGTCTGCCCAGCCGGGGTGGCGCTGCCCCGATGCTCTGGGGAAGCTCCTGCCTTGCTTCTGCTTTCTCTGCTCCCTGGTGACTTATGCGCTGGTGGGGGCCGCCCTTTTCTCGGCCATTGAGGGTGGCCACAACCTGGAGGTAGAGGACCAGGAGTTTGAGGAGTTCTTGAAGGCACTCTGCAACATCTTGCAATGCAACAGGACAGGTAGGTGGCTCACCCAGTCAGGGCCAGCCTCTCCTGGGTGGGTGAAGGCGTCCCCAGAGGGCTGAGGTCAGCTTTGTGGGAGACCGGCCCTCCTTGTTTCTGAGCCTCTCGGAGCCTCAGTTTTCTTCTCTATAAAATGGGGAGAATCGGGGGCTAACTGGGGTACTGGGGAGACAGTTGAGGCCATGGGACAACAGCAGGGGGCACCCAATGTGTGCTCTGTAAGGCCCGTCGCTTCCCTTTGCCATGGCTCCCAGCCCCACCCAGTCCATGGGTAGCTGGGGCTGGGTGGGGTGGGTGGATGGAGACACTGCATGGGGCTGGGGTTCTTAGGGCTGATCCCCAGAGAGCTGTTGCCCCCTGCTTTGGTTTTCAGGGCTAGATTTCAAGGTAGAGTTCAATCTTGGTTGCCCCTACCCCCACCCCCCACCAGAGAATAAGCAGCCTGCTCTCTTTCCTCTCACTTCCTGCTTCTAAAGCTTTTGTTGTTGTTGTTTCTGCTGTCAGTGGGGTGGCAGGCAGGTGAGGAAGCACTTGGGGCCCTGGCTCCTGCCGGAGTTGCTGTGTGATTCAGGCCCACATCCTTGCCCTCTCTGGGTCTCAGGCTTTGAGAGAGCAGGGTCCCAATCTCAGGCCTGCCAGTCACAGGGACCCGCGGGCAGCGAGGAGATCATGCAGGTTCCTCTGGAAGCAAGAGGCACTTTATCGATGTCCTGGCCGCCTGGGTTGTGTTCCATTGGCATGTAGTCGTTTGTTCCTCCTCTGCCCCGTCCCCGCAGTGGAAGCTTGCAAAGGGGTATTCAACTCAGTCAGGGGGAGAACAGGCTTCCCCCATTCCTGCCCCCTCCCCCCTCCCCGCCCTGAGCTATGTAGCCAATATGGTGAGGCCCACCAATGTGGTGTGATGGCTTTCTTCAGCCCGTGGGGCCTCAGGGTGGCCTGCCCTCAAGAGTAGGGGGCTGGGAGGCTCAGGGCGGATGGCTCGCAACATGTCCCACAGCCTGGACCCTGCTTTGTGAGCAGGTGCTTCGGCCAGTCAGGGGACACAGTGTCCCCTCCAGGGAGGGTCCTACCCCTTCTCTCTGCCTCTGGGGCAGGTGGACACACACTCATCTGGCTGATCTGGGATAATGTCACTGGATCTTCAAGCCAGGCGACATGCCAGAGTCCTCCAGGAAGAGCGGGATTGAAATACACAGCCCCAGGCTCTGCCCCAAAACTGCCCCAGTCCGTTCTCTGGGGCTTGACCGGGACTCTGGCTTTCAAAGCTCCTTGGATGATTCCAACGGGCAGCCGTGGTCTGGGAAACCCGGAGCCCGCCCAGCCTTCCCTCAGTCCAAGGTTTGTGGAAGATGACTGAGTGCACTGGATGATGACGTGCAGGCCTGGCCGGCCACTGCTCCTGCAGCATCCCGCTGAATTTTCCCACTGACCCTGTGGGCACGAATCACTGCCTTGCCCCCTTACAGGCTGGGAAACTGAGCCATAAGACAGTGGAGCCAGGAGCCGGCCACAGGCCTTTAGACTCCAGAACTGGACTTTTGAACCACTTGTGGGTGCTGCCTCTCAGATGGGGGAGCTGGGACTCAGAAAGCCATCCTGTCTCCACGGCTGCTGGCAGGACCTCGTGAGGGTCAGAGCTGGGCCTAGAGTGCAGGTGGCTAAACAGGTGTTATCTGAATGAGTAGTGACCCCCCTGCTGTGGGCTTGGCTCTGTTCCATCCTCTCTTGACCTCATCAGAGCCAGGTGGGTGATGTGCATACAGTCCACTGACTGCCCAGCCCTGCAGACCCACGCAGGGACCTGGCTATGAAATCAAGGCTCCAGTCCTGCTCTGTTGGCCTCCGGAGGGATGTCTTAGAAGCCAAGACTTGGTGGCCCTGGGAGAGGCATCCTTGGGTAGCTGCTACGTGCAGGTCCAAGCAGGTGACCCAATGCCATCAGGCTCAATGACCTGCAGGAGCAGGGAGAGCTGGCATTCATAGGACAGCTTGCACTTCACAAAAGTCCATTGGCTTCTGAGTCTCAAGGGCCCATGAGAGACCCAGATCAAATGGGAAGCCTTCTGAATTTGAAGGCCCACTGGTTCAGAAAGCCCGAGGCTGGACAGAAAGCCCGTGGCCCTGGACCCTGAGCCCCTGGACTGCTCAGCAGGGGGACCCTTCTCCCAGAGCTGCCGGGTGTCCTAGTCTCTGTAGGGGCCAGAGCCAGGGCTTCACCAACTGAGCTTGAGGGATGGGGACATGGGATGGGGTATTCCCCTTGGGAAGCCTTGGTGCCCTTTGCCCAGGCAGCCCAACTGGAAGGGCTGGACCCAGGCCTGCTCCCTCACTCTGCCCGTCTTTGCCCAGTTGAGGAAAGCAGGCGACGGGCCCTCCGGGTGCTGCTGCAGAAGGTGAAACCGCAGTGGCTGCCCCGCTTCTCCGACTGGTCCTTCCTGAGCTCGCTCTTCTTCTGCTGCACGGTCTTCACCACGGTGGGTAAGTGCAGGCCAGGGCCAGGCAAGGACAGGCCCTGCCCGGGAGAGGAAGCAGGAGGGGCAGACCCCTGGGTGCGGATGCTGGAATGTTCACTCCTTTGTGCAAGAAGCAGCTGTGGGGTACCACTCAGCCATGGCACGGTGTGCAGGGGGACACTGTCCCAGTGCAGTAGATGCAGCAGTAGACAGGGACACCACTGGCCAGACACCTCTGGGTGACATCCTTCCTTATGGACACATACATGCCCAGGCATAGGTCCTGGGGAGGAAGATGTGGGTTAGACCCCAGCTTGCTCTTGCCTCTGGCTGAGTGGGCATGGGCAAGGCACAAACTGTCCACTGTGGCTGGGTGTCCCCCAGGCAAGGCAGAAGCCATCAGGGCCAGAGTCTTCTAGATGCAGCTGAGAGAACATTTTGAAGGTCCTCCAAGGGGATGGCTGTCCTGCTGGGTCTCATAAGAGGAGCCGGAGTTAGCTGTGGGGAAGGAAGGCTATGCTGAGGGGACCACAGGCCTCAAGACAGCAGGAATGAAAGGCCAACAGTCAAACACGTTGCAGGCATTGTGATCAGGTGGCACTGGAGGGGAGGGGCAGGGACAGAGGCTGGTAAGCTGGCCCGGGGAATGGGGTTTATCCTGAGGATGGTGGGCGTGTGTTGAAAGGGTCTGAAGCAAAGGAAAGATATGGTAGCTCAGCCCCCTACCAAGGGCACTGCAGGTGCAGCATGGGGCAAGGACAGACACAGCACCAGAGCCCTAGACTCAGGGCTTCTTCAGGACTCGCCAAACCAGTGGAAAGGACTGGGCCCCCTCTTCACTCAAGAGAGAAGGTGCCAATCCCTGAGGCTTGTCCCGTGTCCTGCTTGGAGCAGTGGAGGAGCCCGGCAGCCACACTCACCCCCTTCAGGTAGCGACAGTCTTGTTCCTGGTCCATAGTCTTTCCAAGATCTGCTTCTCAGGGGCAGCTGAGGACCATCAAATAAGTCAAGGCTTCTTCAACCAGCTCCATCCTCGACCCCTTTTCGTTGGAGAAATTTGCAACATCAGCAGGCACTGCCACACATCTCGGATTCACGGCGCATTTAATTTTGAATTAATTTTTGGTCTTTGCGCCTTCAGAAGCCTTTCACTGGTGCCCAAACTTTTCGCCACCCTAACATTCAGTTACGCAGGCCCCACTGAAGGCTCCCAAGCTTAAGAAGCTTTGGATTAAGTGACTGCCAAGGAACCTTGAATCAAACTAGCCCCATTCCCCACCCAATTGACTTACACTGCAAGACCGAGGGAGAAGTCTGGTGGGAGGGCAGCTCGAGGACTGACTAGTGTGCAGCTCAGCTGTGGAGTCAGGTTCAGGTTCAGAGTCACCAAACGGCCACATCCCACCCACACACAACCACACCTAGCAGAAAGCAAGACCGGTTGCCCGACTCAGCATGGAGACTCCCGGGAAGGCTCTGTGGCCTCTTTGCAGCCTTCCCCAGGGCAGTGTGGCAGGAGACGGCTGCACCATAAGAGGCCACGCCGCCGGGGTCTACCTCTGTCTACATTGGGGGGAACAGGGGCTGCCCAAACAAAGTCAGGGTGCCCCAAGGAAGGGAAGCGTGAGAGAGGTGTGTGTAGTCCACTGTCACACACTGTGTGACAGGAGTCCCACCAGAGCTCCTCTGGCACCCACCAGCTGTTCTTCCAAATTGGTCTCACTCACTGGACAGGGAATAAAGCCAGGTCAGGGCCATGTCATGGGTAAGGAGCCATAGGGATGGTGCTGGCATGACTGTGCGCTTCCTAGTACCTCCTACCCACCAGACGCACACCTGTGGTCGGCGAGTGAATACGGATACCACGCCTGACATGCAATGATCATGCCGTACGTGCATTACGTGACAGCCTTCTCACCACCACCCTATGAGGGAGGTGCTGCTCTGGCCCCATCAGGACAAGCGCCCACTGAAGCTCCCAGAGGGCGGCCCTGCTGCCAGTGAGACAGGCAGAGGTGAGATCAAGTACCCCTGCCCCAGACCTTTTCTGGGGACAGACAGCTCAGAGCCCCCTTTGAGGTGACAGCAGTTAGAGGAGAGAGAGCAGACATGACAAGACAGGGACTGAACATGGGCAAATGGGCTGAGAGTTTGTCTTCCACTCCCACCTCTACCCAACCCCCTCCCCCAGGGGGAAAATTAGCTCACTACTATTGAGCCCTGGCGGAATAGTGGGTTACGTAGGAGTGGCGCTCCAAACCACTGGGTCAGCAGTTTGGAAGGACCAGTCACTCCCCAGGAGAAGAACTCCGCTGTCTGTCCTGTGAAATGTTACAGTCGCTGGAGCCCCCAAGAGCAGTTCTCCTGTCCTCTAGGGGTCATCATTGATTCGATGGCAGTGAGTGTTCTTCTAGCCAGCGAGTCCATCTGCACTCAGAGGCACCCAATGGGGCCAGGGAAGAACTGCTCCCTAGGGTGGGTATCCGAGGCTGTACATCATTTCTGCTTCTCATGCCCCAGCAGCACACGCAGGTCCACAAAGCTTTCCTCCATCCGCCTCCTTACGGTGCGCTCTGTTTTGAGGCGGAAGCTCTTCCCCAGTCGTATATTAAAGTATCTTCAACCCGAAGGACTCATTTTCAGGCACATGTCTGACAATGCTCCACTGCCATTCAAAAGGCTTTCCATGGATAAGCCCTCGGCAGTGGACGGTCTATCCCTTCTTTGTATCTGTTCTTAACCTGGAAGCTCTGCCCAATCCTGTTCACCGTGGGTCATCCTGCTGGTACCTGAAAGACCAGTGGTATAAGCTTCCAGCAGCCCTAATGAGCCGCCAGTGAGTACGACAGATGTGGCTCCCATGTTTCTAACTGTCATCGGGTCCATGGGTTTCCAAGACTTTAAATCTTTATGAGAGCAGATAGCTTCATCTGTCTCCTGCAGAAAACCTGGTGGATTTGAACCACTGACCTTGTGGTTAGTAGTGCACTGCGTAGACTGCTATGCCACCAGGACTTTGAGCTTACTTGCTTGCTGTTGTTGTTAGATGCCATTGAGTCGGACTGAACCCACAGAGATTCTATGAACAACAGAACAAAAGACCGCCTGGTCCTGCACCCTCTTCACAACAATACCTATGCATGTGCCCCTTGTCCCAGCCAGTGTGCCAACCCATCCCATTGAGGGTCTTCCTCATTTTCACTGCCCCTCCACTTGACCAAGCATGAACTCCTTCCCCAGGGACTGGTCTCTCCTGACAACATGTCCTAAGTATGTAAGGTGACATCTCACCATTCTTGCCTCTAAGGAGCACTCTGGCTGTATTCTTCCAAGACAGGTTTGTGTGTCCTTTTGGCACTCCATGGTACTTTCAAGATTTTCCGCAGCACCACAATTCAAACACATCGTTTCTCCCTTAGTTTTCTTTGTTCAATATCCAACCGTCACAAGCACATGAAGCAACTGAAAATCCCATGGCTTTGGTCAGGCGCACCTTATTAGTCCTCAATGCTTCATCCTTGCTTTTCAACACCTTAAAGAGATCTTATGCAGCAGATTTACCCAACGCATCTCATCTTTTGCTCTCTTGACTGCTGCTTCCTTGTGCCTCGATTGTGGATCTAAGCATGACGGAATCCTGTGTATAAGCCAGTTTCTGAGTATTTGCTCAGCAGACAGATAGAATAAGTATGGTGAGAGGATACAACCCTGACACACACCTACTTATGGTTTGTCCATAGAATCTTTCACGATGGCAATGAGAAGCTTGTGTTTTTTTCTTGAATTCTTTCTGTTTAAGATACGCTAGTGTGTTCTTCCATTTTGGTTTTCTAACTCTAGGGCTGTGCACATTTCATTATAATATTTTACTCTTATTTTTTCCAGCTGCCCTTGGAAATTTTCTGTTCGGCTCTTTGACTTCATCATCGCTTCCATTTCCCTTAGCTGCTATGTGATGAAGAGCAAGTGTTAGAGTCTCCTCTGACATCCATGCTGATCTTTCTTTCTCGCCTCTTGATCACTTGCTTAGCCAGGGCTTAGAGCAAGCTGGGATGCAAATCAAGATGGCTAGCCCAGGCCTGGGTCAGCGGGATTTTGGGGGAGCTACTTGATTGTTCATTACTGGTGACATCACAGGGGTCTTCTGTGTACATCCAGCTGACAAGGGGAGCTCACAAGGTGCCATCTTTCCCTTGCCTGGGGCTTTGATGAAGGGGTGGTTTTGTAACCTTTGGACCTAAGGCAAATCACACGGCCGAGGAAACAAAGAATGGTAACTTGAATCAGCCCCTCTAGTAAGGTGGGGTCTCAAAATAAATCCCACCTTCATCTTGTCTCATTAGCATAGTCCCAAAGCCCAAAGCCCCCAAAGCCCCACACCAAACTGCCATCAAATTTCTGACAACTCACTGTACCCTATAGGATAGGGTAGAATAGCCTCTCTGAGTTTCTGGGAGTGTAACTCTTTATGGGAGCAGAAAGCCCTGTCTGTCTCCCAAGGACCAGTTGGTGGATTCAAACTGCCGACCTTTTGGTTAACAGCCCAATGAGTAAACACTATACCACCAAGGCTCCTCATTAGCATAAAATGTGACCCTATAGGGCAGAGCAAGGCTGTAAATCTTTACAGGAGAAGAAAGCCTCATCTTTATCTCTAGTAGCGGCTGAGGGGTTTGAACTGCTGACCTTGCAGTTTGCAGGCTAATGTTAACCCACTGCATCACCAGAGATCCTTCCCAGCAACTTGAGGGGCTGGATTGAATTAGCATCCTTGGTGCTACTGGCATTGCTTGCGATCAGGGGGTGGGGGTGGGGGCGAGACGGAGGAGTGGGAACTTAAAATTACAGGGTGGCTAGCAGCATCCTTGACCTCTACCCACTAGATGCCAGGAGCACCTCCCCTCTAGTTCTGACCAATGTCTGTAGACACTGCAAATGTCTCTTATGGAGGACCTTGTAGAGGACCTCTGAGCAAATGCAATGGTTGCCAGAGTGTGATCCCTGGACAAGTGGCTTCAGCATCACTTGAGAACTTAGCACTAGAGAGTAAGGCTCCGGCTCCATCCTAGACCCACCAAATGAGAAACCATGGGCACGGAGCCAGCAGCTGGCGCTCTAATGAGTCCCCTAGGTAGTCCTACAAAACCAAACCAAACCAAACTCAGTGTCAGGGAGCTAATGCTGACTCCCAATGACCCTCCAGGGCAGGATAGAACTGCCCCTGTGAGTCTCCAAGACGGTAACTGTTTATGTGAGGAGAACGGCCTCGCTGTCTCCTGAAGAGCCACTGGGAGGTTGGAACTACTGATCTTGTGGTCAGCAGCCCAGCGAGTAACCCCGTGAGGCTCCTTCAGGGGTCCCGAGGCATCAGAAAATTCAATAAGCTGCAGTCGAATGTCAGGTTCTCAGTGCCTTTGAATTCCCGGGTCCCTTCCCATGCACCCCTGCTTGAACCCTACTCCAGAGTGGCTAAGGAACTCTTCCGAGCCTGTCAAGTGAACCTGCTGGGCGTCCAGGCAGAGAATCACTGGTCTAGTGGAAATGCATTAGCTTAAGGCTTGGTTTAAATCCCAAGATGCAATGCTCCTGCCATTGTGCGAGTCAATTAGGGCTTGGTACTGCCCAGTCATTACACTGCAGTAAGGCAGGGCGTGTGAGCACTCTGCCCTGCCCGTTATCAGTAAGTGTCTATAGGTCGCCCTGATAATACCGTAATACCACCCCTCCTGGCATATCTGTACCTGGACTTGACAGGTACTTGGCCAGCCAATCCCCAGTCTTCCCCCTGGGATCAGCCCTCTTGCATTAGATAGGAAGTGGCCCGCTATTGAACACTCACAGGCTAATGGGGTGGGCTGATCCTGTTGGACTATCTGGGTGCATTGTATAAACTGATACGCTTTTCCATTATGCATCTCAGCATGCGGTAATTGGGAGGGCACTGTCCATCCCTTTACAAGGGCTGTGGACTCTCTGAGATGGCTTCCTTTGGTCCCTTCCGGAATATAATCACGTTTTAGAATTGTAAAACACATTTCACCCAGAACAACCCAAAGGCTGTGCGAGGAGAAGCCTGGGCTGGGGGTAGGGGGTGGAGGCTTTGTCTGCTGTGGACCGAGTGAGGCTAACCTGTTACCTGGCCTCTGCAGGACTCCATTGCCTGCCTACTGCACGTGGCTAATGGTTGTGCAAAGGTGTGGCTCTGACGCTACGTGGCTACATGTCCTGTGTTTAAAAAACGCCACCTTTCCTTTAAATCAAAAACAATTCTGCCTCAAGGCCCCTCCGAACTTCCCCGGGGGTCTGCTGGGGAATGGGTGGGGTGGGGGGCTTGTGCACTGTCTGGGAAGTGGTCAGCCCCCAGCTGGTGGGCCCTCCCGAATGCTGCTGATGCACCTCAGGGCCCATGGTTCTGGGGGCTATTGGCAAGCTTGGGCATGGGGATCTTGGCTCCTGCCCAGGGGCCGGCATCTCCAGCTGCAAGGAGGTTCTGTCCATCTCTCATGACCTGCTGAGGGCGGGCCACGGGGCACCTCTCCGGTCCTGGGGGTGACGGTCCTGGGGGTGATGCCTGAGACTGCTAGCATTTGCTTCAGGGAGTGCCAGCACCGAGGGGAGTGTGTAGCCAGCTCAGACACAGAGTTCAGAGACACTGGCCTCATAGGCTGGGCTTCCCCCGCTCATTAATTGATCATCCTTTATGATGTCACAAGTTAGACACAGGTATTAAATCCAAATGCTTTCCCTCTGCTTGAAGTCATCAGAGCTTGCCCATCCCAGATGCCCACAGGAGCATCTCACCCAGCTGTGGGAGGACCAGTCAGTAGGCCTGGTGGGCAGTGCCATTCCTAGGTGACGGATCAGACACCTGGGCAGGCACAGCTGGGATTCGAACTGTGTCCCAGATTCTAAGCACTGGGATCCTAACCACGCACCTGCCATTTCTAAGCATGTTCATCTCAGCTGAGAAAACACAAGTACCTCAGAGGGTGGCAGCAGCCATGCCTTTTCAGGACCCCTCTGTCCCTCATCTGGATGCCATGGTGGTATAGCAGTTAAGAGTTGGGCTGTTAACCACAAGGTCAGCAGTTCAAAACCACCAGCTACTCCTTGGGAGAAAGATGAGGCTGTCTATTCCTGTAAAGAGTTACAATCTCAGAAACTCAACAGGGGCAGTTCCACGTGTGCTATCGGTCATTATGAGTCAGCATGGGCTGGGTGACAGTGAATTCTGGAGTGTACACCATTGGTGCACAATAAATACACAGTTTATAGAAACAAATGAGGTCCCAGAGAGGAATGGGGCCGGGGGGGGGGGGGGGGGGGTTCTTAAAACCCCTCGGGGGGGGGGGGGGGGGGGGGGGAGAGCTTCTTCAAACCCTTCTGTGGAGGATGAGGGGCAGCGGGTGTGTGACAGTGAGTCCCCTCCTTACAGAACTGGCCGGCCTCAATCCTCCAACCTGCTGCAAAGGCTCAGAAACAGTCATGCCACAATGCAGCCCTATCAGCTTCCAGCCAAGGCCCTTGTGGATTGAGGGTCTGGAAACGAGGCACTCCTTATACCAAAGAGAGGCTGTTTTTCACCCCATTTCCCAAGCAGTCCTGGTGCCAGATGCTGTTCCTGTTGTCAGGTCCCAGCAAATTGGTTCTGACTCATAGCAAGCAACCTGATGTACAATGGATGGGATGCGGTGTGTTCCTGCAGCCTCCTTACACTTGTTGTGTTTGAGCCCATTGTTGAAGCCACTACATCAGTCCATCTCCTTGAGGGTCTTCCTCTTTTTTGCTGCCCTTTGACTTTACAGAGCATGATATTCTTCTCTGGGGATTGGTCTCCCCTGCTAACATGGGACCAGATCCAAGCAAAGTGCACTGTCAGACTCAGAGCAACTCAGTAAGCCAGGCTAAAACTGCCCCTGTGGCCTTCTGGGACGGTCACTCTTTATAGGAGTACAAAGCCTCATCTTTCTCCCTCAGAGTGGCTAGTGGTTTTGAACTGCTGACCTTCTGCCTAGCAACCCAGTGAGTAACCACTGCGTCTCCAGGGCTTCTGTGGTGCCAGGCAGGTGGATGCATAAGGTGAATATTTGAGACCACATTGTGCACTCTGTCATGTGGAGGAGGGCAGAGGTCCTGGAGGTGGGGGGCGGGGGTAAGGGGTGGTGGAGACAGCAGCTGCAGTTCTGTCATCTTTTCCAGGTTACGGCCACACCTACCCTGTCACCAGACTGGGCAAGTACCTGTGCATGCTCTACGCACTCTTGGGCATCCCCCTCATGTTCCTGGTCCTCACCAACATAGGCGACATCCTGGCCGCCATCTTTTCCACATCCTACAACCACTTCCGGAAGTTCCTTTCCCGAAGGCCTGAGCACCCCGGGGGGTGTGCCCCACTGCCCTGCAGGAGAAGGCCTGTGGAGGCCAGGCCTGCGGCTGAAGACACTCCGCCGGGGGTCGTGCTCTGTGCTGAAGAGCTCCGGGACCACAAGCCGAGCCCGAGTCCCTCAGCCCAGAAGGCCAACTCTGAGCTGTTCAAGCATCTTCTTAGCCGAGACAAACAGCACACACTGCAGCTGCCCCCACCAGGCCTGGAGCGAAGCAGCTCGTGTCCCGAGCTGGTGACCGGCAGGCTCTCGGGCTCCATCGTTAGCAACCTGGACGAGGTAGGGCGGCAGGTGGAGCGGCTGGATGTGCCCCTGCCAGTCATTGTGCTGGTGGTGACGGCCTACATCTCCTGCGCGGCTGCTGTGCTGCCCATGTGGGAGAAGCAACTGGACTTCGAGAATGCCTTCTACTTCTGCTTCATCACGCTGACCACCATCGGCTTTGGGGACACGGTCTTGGACCACCCCAATGTCTTCATGTTCTTCTCCATTTACATCATCATTGGCATGGAGATCGTGTACATCGCGTTCAAGTTGATGCAAAATAGGCTGATTTATGTCTACAAGAAACTGCTGCTCTTCTTCGCTGGAGGGAAGGTTTATATCCCCGTGAGAAAGTGAAGGACTGCCAGTCACTGGGCAGATACCCACCCGCCATGTGGCCCTCCTGGACTTGCCTTCCTGGATGATGAGGGTAGATAGGGGGCCACTGTGGCCTGACATCTCACACATGGGGGCTTGGGAACCAAACTTGTAGGAGGGCTCACGGGGCCATCATGAGTCTGGCTCCACGGCATTGAGCGACAGCACTGCCACCTACTGCAAATGTCTCTCAGTCCTTCAGCCCCTGGCTGACACTCTCCATCAAGGGACATGGACACACTGCCCTCGAGTCCCTCTGACTCGTAACGACCCAAGACAGGGCTCCCGAGGCTATAGAACTTTACAGGAGCAGACAGCCTCATCTTGCTCCCTCAAAGAGGCTGGTGGATTTGAACCACTGACTTGATTTCACAGTTAGGAGCCCACTCCCTAACTCACATTGCCACCAGGACCCCTTATCAGGACATTCTTCAGCTGAAAGAACACAAATGATTACCACCCCCAAAGGGCAATGAATTTTCCTGTTTCAAAAGCACTCAGTGGTTGCCAGTGGTTTCCTTGCCAGGAGAAAAAGCACACTGGCCCCTGCACTTGGACTTTCAGGGGAGTGAGAGTCTTCCAGGCTGCTCCCTGCTGGTCACACCCTCTGTGCACAATGCTGGGGCCTGAACCAAAACCCCCAGTTCACTGCCAGGCTGACTCATACTATCCCTAGAGGACAGGGTAGAACTGACCCTGTGCATTTCTGTGAAACTAATTCTTTCAAAAGCTCAAGCTCGCTGCCCTGGAGTCCATGCTGACTCATAGCCACCCTGTAGGTCAGAGTAGAGCTACCTCTTTGGGTTGCTGAGATCTTAAATTTTTACAGGCGTAAGCAGCCTCATCTTTCTCCTGTGGAGCAGCTGGGAGTGTTCGAACTTCTGGCCTTGTGGTTAGCAGCTCAACACATAAAGCCTCATCTTCCTCCTATGGCCTGACTGGTGAATTCGAACTTCTGACCTTGTGGTTGAAGCCCAACACACAACCCACGATTGCACCAGGGCTCTGCCACTAAGAACATAATAAGTATGTATTCCACAGAAACAAGTGACCTCAGAGATGCAGAGACCCCAGATCCACAGTGAACTTGGCAGGGGCCAGAAGTGCTGGTCCGAGAGCACCCATTTCCTAGAGTGACCTGCACAAAGGCACACAGTTTTAGCCCCCAGGCCCCGAGCCTCTGAACTTTACACAGATACCAGTGGGATTATCATCTGCGTACACATGGGGCTGGGCCCTCTCTTGGAGGCCCGGTGCTGTATAGACCACTTTTTTCACTGGTTGGCATATGATTGGTGCCCCAGAATGTGTGGGCATATCAAAGTGTTGCCTCCCAAGTGGACAGATTGGTACCCAGAGCATTGTCACAGTCCCTGGGTAGATGTGCTCTGGGGCTGGACATGGAGTAGATGCTAGAGGTGCTTGCCCTTATCCCCTGACACCCCAGCCCCCCTTTGCCTGAGGACCTTCTATGGCCACTACATCGTGAGCACGTACAGGGCAGGCCAGATGCACCAAGGGGCTAACCCCCTCAGCCCATAACTGGTGACAGTGCGCAGTGACAGTGCTCTGGTCACCTGGCCCCCATACAGGTTCACATACAGAAAACATTCAGCACCCCCTCAGAACCCAAGTTACTTTTTAGCACCCTCCCTCCTCCGTCTTGCTGCCCCACTCCTCCACTGGGAATTCCCAAGGTCTTCCTCCCTCCCTGTTCCTGCTATAACCCACCCCCCACTTCCACCACCACCCTATTCACTCAAACCCTTGTTTGGGGGCCAGGTGCCTGGAGGCCCCAGCCTGGGAGAGGATGCAAATAATGAGCTACGTTAACTGGCTGGCAGGCGTCTGGGGCAGCATGCCCCAGGTCTTCTGACTCATGAGACCAGATCTTTGTTCTTGCAGAGACTGGCAGCACGGGGACAGGGACCAACAAGACTCGCCCGTCCCTGGGCAAATGGCGACCGTTGCTCCTGGGTGGACCACGAGAGCTGCCAGAACCAATAAAACATGCAGGGAGGTGCCGGTTTGCAAAGAAAGGACGCATCTGCCCTTTGAGACTGGGTAGCTTGCGGAGAGGACCCTCAGCTGTCCTTTTCTGGGTTTTCCCTCCTGTTCCCCACCAGTCTTTTTGTTTCTGCCACCCTTCCTCAAAACAAAACAAAACAAAACAAAAAAGGACTGACAACATGGGAGCCAGAGCAGTGACAGATGTAAGCAGGCCCAGGGCTTGGGGCTGGTGCAGGTGCTAGGTGTCTGAGGACCACAGCCCAGTGCCTGTGGAGCAACGAGGTCCCTTGAGTCCAGATACAGCCAGGCCTGGCCACTAGCGTCCTGTCCAATCAGCATTCGTTGAGCTTGTTGTTTTCCAGGCTCCTTAACCAGAGCCTTGAACCCTCTTTCTGGTTTGGCCTCCTGCTGAGATGCACCCCAGGACCCTGAACCTGCGTCTCCTTTTGACCAAGTTCCCCAGGTGGTTCTTCGGCAGACAGTGAGCACTCGGAAGGGTCCCGTGGAACCCGAAGCATTACTTGGGATCCCTAAAAGTCCCTGTGGATCTTGTGGAAGCGCAGAGTCTGACGCAGGCTGTTGGGGGTGGGGGTGGGGTAGAAAGGCAGATTCTCAGCAGGGCGTGGAAGCAGAGAGAACCAGGCTGAAACCCTGACAGATGTAAAAGTTCCCTGGGAGGCCCAAGCAGTTAGCTCTGGGGCTACCAACCCCAAGGTTGATGGGTTGAGCCCACCTAGCAGCATCGCAGAAGAAAGACCTGGCGATGGGCTTCGCAGAGACTACAGTCAGGAACGCCACACCTGAGCTCGCCGTGACTCGACGGCGATGGGCATCGTTTGTGCTTTGATTCAACAGGTGCAGTGTCCAAAGTGGAGTACAGAAGTCATGTCACTGCAGGGGCTGCAGCCTCAGCCCTGCCCATCCAGAGGCAAGAGCAGAGTCCTGCTCGCGTGCAAAAAGGGACAGGCATAGGATCCCCAGAAGCCGGAGTGGACTTGAAAGCAACTAGTAAGGGCATGGTGTGCAGGGTCAAGGTCATGCTCATTGCTTTTTCCTTTCTACTTGGCGTTCCACTATGGACTCCCTCAGCCCTGGGCAAGCGTGGGCATTGATGCCCGCATGGCTCTGCTCATGGGTCTCCTCCCTGGCTGCATCTGGATCCCTTGACAGGTTCAAAGCCCCCGGACTCCTCCCTCCCCGGGGTGTGGATGCAATTGGTCTGAGCTGGAGCGCCATCACACTAGATTCTCTCTCTGCCTTCCAGGATGTACCAAGGCTTCTCTTTCAAGACAGCCCAGCTGTCCCCTCCCTTACACTTGGAAGTAGTTCCCTTTGCCCCCATTCATATGTCACTGTGCACCTGTGTACCCTCCTCAGACACATGGTGCTCACTGCTCCTCGCTCCGACTCTGAGCTGCTTGAATGAAGAACATGCCTTTTACAGCATCATCCCCGTTCTCGCTCCCTTTATCCCCCCACCCCTCCTACAGGACCCGCCACATGCTGGGGACTCTGGGTATGACGGGTGTACAGAGATGCCAAGGAGAGCAGCCAGTCCTTACTGCACACCTACTGTGTGCCAGCTCCAACTGGACCCTTTGGTGAATTTTCCCCTGATGCTCCTAGAGAACCGTCCCCATTTTACAGTGAGCAAACTGAGGTGGAGTGACTAACTGACATCACTATGGTAGGGGGGGCCACAGGGAGTACACCAAAATCGCTGTCTATAAACTATTTCTGCAGCATTTCAGCC